TCGGAGATAAAGAGCAAAGAGTGCAGAAAATAGAAATCGAGTTTTTGAGAGAACGGAACATCCGATTTGAATGATCTAAAAAACATTCAATTAGTAACGATTAGGAGAAGTGGTTATTAGTTTTTCGCAAAGGCTGGCCCAGCCATTTCAAAGATACGGAGCTAAATGTACAAAAAATGGCAGTTTTTAAGAGAACTAAGCTAAAACATTTAATATTTCTCGAACATTTCGTTACCGTACGGAAAGTTCCAGCAATTTGCCTTAAGGCACGATGCCACCACCCCACTAGTTTTTTATAAAATAACTTTTTATCGACACAAAATCAATGAAATAATAATTGTTTGGCAAACTCTATAATATGATATAGAGCAAAGTTCTTTAAAGGATTCCACTAAGGTATCACGTAATTGTTTGTTAATTAGTTGATTATTTAAAACTTTTATTGCTGAAATTATATCTTATATAATTATTTCATAAATTATTATGAAATTATATGGATACACCTCCATCATAGAATTATATTTTTACATAATATATTTTTTTGAGTCTACTGTCTTCAAATATGTTCATGAATTCTGCATTTCTGCATCTATTTTTTTATCAAATTTTCCATGACAACATTATATATCACACAATTTACGTTCGTAAATAATAATTAATATTAAAAATTACAAAACCGATTCTGTGACATTTCCATCGCATTCTAAGCAACTCTGTACTTTAATTGATCCAATAATGTTTGTTGTAGGGTAGTAAAAAAAATTATATCATGGTGAAAGATTGTTAATAAATTTATTTAGCTTGATTGATTTGGCAATTTAGAGTAAAAATCTATAAGAGGTATACAAATTATTTGTATAAATGCACTACTAAGAACTTCTTTCTCCGCTTTCTACGAATATTGTACATACCTATGCAATTTGTGCATTCGAAAAATTTTAATTTAATATTTAATTATTTTTGCAGATCAAGGTCTTACGTATAGAGATTTAAAAATTCTGATAATAAAATTTCGTTTTGGTAGACATATAAAGAATGAGTAAAAAAACACAATATAAGAGTACAGGAGGGTCTTTAGAATACATTTTGCTGCTAAAGTAATTGAAATAAACATAGCTGCAGATGTTACCAGGTCTAGTGTATAATACACTTACAAAAAATCGACCTTTTAATTCGATGTAAACAAAACGCTAAAAAGAGCCTAGCAATTGATCAACCCAAAACGTGCATAAAATTTTCACAAATCTCTGCATCCTCAGTACACATGTTCTCGATCAACCTTTTCCCTATATCGATGTTTGCATAATATCGATGTTCTCCTGATACCACTAGCCCCAAGTGGAGTTTTGGCGTTAATTCGCGCTACGGGTAACAGATGCTATTTACCTCCGACGTAGCAATATTAGACCCACCCCGGGGTCATGACGTCTCTAGTTGTACCGCGCCCCGGGTCGCAGGTCGGATGGATGAATCTTAGAAAAATCATAAGGGGCGAGGGTGACACATATTACGAAATTCAAGATTAGACACTCATTTCACCCTACTCTCTCCTGCCATGTGGCGGAGGATAAATCCTGGATTTCGGTTCCTTGTCCGAGGCATGTGATAGAAGGAAAATTATGTTGTAACAAGTAGGAAAAAAACAATAAAATATTCTATACTATTAAATACACCATATTGTTGTGTTAAAGACGATTTTCAATTGTTTATAATTTTATTTATAAGTTAAATGTTGCAGTTTCTCAATGATTTCTATCATTAATTTTTAAATTTACGACAATAATTTATTAATCTACTTAAACTGGATTTTCATTAGCAATATAAATATATAATTAATATCAATAAATTTAATATAATATTAATATTGATGTTAATATAACAATAATGAAATATTAATCATACAAATTTATATTAAAATTTATTTTTCATGCAAAAATATAAATTAGAGGTGTATGGCATCATGCCTTGAGACAAATTGCTGGAAATTCCCGCACCGTTATGAAATATTCGAAGAATATCGAAGAAGTTTTCAAACTTAGAATTATTTATCTGAAGTATGTAGGGGAGATTTAGAACTTTAGCTAGAATTAAAATCAAAATCCGAATTATTTTAGATATTCAAATTAAAAAAAAATGGAAATGATTTTCTTTTTTTTAAATTTTGAAATCAAAATGAATTTTTTCCTTAAAACGTATCTCCGAAACGGCTGGACCAACATTTACCAAAATCTAATCAGCACGTCTTTTCTCAAAAACATTTTTTTTTAATTATTGTCAACGTCTTGGAACTATATTAGAAAAAATATTCAGAACGTATATTAATGATTTTAATTAGAGGAAACAAACGAAACTAATGTAGTGAAAATATAAATGAATTAGTATTTTATTATAACGGAATATAATAACATAATTTTATGGGTGTGTGTATTATCAAATTTTAATTAAATTAATTTAAACGGAAATTAGAACGTTCATAAATATGTTATCAAATTAATAAAAATGTCGCATTTAGTTGGATCTACTAAAATTCTAATAATAATAATTAATAATATATTATATCAGTATACGTAGCAGAATGACTTTATATATTTGGTATAAATAAAATTAATTAACCAAAATTCGAATTATAATAAAAAAATATATATTATCAGTATACGTTACAGAAATATTTTATATATTTTGTAATAATAAAAAACTGATGATAACTACGTAGAATAAAATGTTTAAATATATTATTATTATTATATAACTATTTTTAGACAAGCTTACACTCTTACTTAAAAATTTTAAAATTAGACAGTAAAAACAAAATAAAATAATTGTGCACTTCTGATATCAAAGGCGTTACAGACAGTTACCAAGTCGTGTAAAGTCAAAAAAAATTCAAGTATTTGTGAGTAATTTTTTGCAAGTGCTTTTGACCAAAAATTTGTGATATGGTTTTATAGATAAATATTGCATAAAAACCTGACGATGGAACGTATCTAGTTCCGAAACGTCGTAATTAAACATCTCATTAAAAACTTATTGTTCTTTATTTATTGGATTAATTGTTCGGAGAGAAACATATATAATTACGTTGAATCATATGTTTGTATGTCTATCCTACGAAAATTTTATGCAGTATGAAGTGCAAATATCATAGTCATCAAGTACCAGTACCCTATATCTAAGGTATTTAAAGATCGTAATAAAAGTGAATCAATATTAATCTCAGGATCTATCCAATCCGAAATATATCGCCAAAATCTCATGTCCGAATTAATCTGCTCCTTTACCGTGGGTCACGTGTTATTTGTGGAAATCGTCGACGATACTTTCGCATTATCCTCGTTTCCATTTTTATTTGGCACGTACCTAATTCTCATCTTCATAAATTCTGTCGGCTTGACAGGAATCGAAGCGTCAGGTATTGCCTGCTGCTGCTGCTGCAGCATGTAGCATTGTCGGCGAGCAGCAACAAATCATACTTTGACCAAACATAACTGTTCGGGGAGAGAATGGAGCGCCGCGATACGCATAGAAATGTCTCTAAAGCAGCTTGTGTTATGGAATCATATCAGAAATCATATTTATAGTATCACAATAGCTTATTTGTATTTCCTTCATTCGGTATGGTCAAACGACAGGGCCGAACTGGGAAGACGCGATCGTGAATTGCAGACTAACATACTTTTGGTTGTTGTAAAATTATATATATATATATATATATATATTTAATTTAATTTTTTATTTAATTATAAGATTTTATTTAAAGAATTTAAAAAATATACACAGCATAAGATACCTAATATTTAAAAAGTTGTCTAACACACTACGAGCTGTGACAATTAATGAAAGGATTTATTATCAAAATATATTGTAATTTGTTGTTAAAAGTTTTCTTTCTATCTAGCTAAAAGCTAATAAATGCGATTTAAAATTGATATGTTTCAAATTTATAATATCAGTAATTAAATAAACTAAAACTTTAATAAATTTTTATAATTTAACCACTTTTCGAAGGCCTATAATATTTTGGGATTGTTGGTTTAGCTTAAGAACATGACTTTTATCGCCATTGTAAGTTTCATTAAAAACGCAGACAAAAAATAATTTGTAAAATTTAATTACTAATAACTAATCAGCACGATTCCCAAATGATATCTTTTGTCTAATTCTGAATTTTCAAATTCGGTTCAGATTTTTTATACGAAAACGCGAACGAAAAATATTACACATTTCTTCTTATTTTAAAGAAACGGTTTGACCGATCGTCTCGAAAAACAAACCGAATGGCTTTTAAATTTTTGAAATCGATTTTGCTGGTTTTGAAAAAACATCGATGAAAGGTAAAAAATCGGCCCACACATATACTTTTTCTAAAAATGGTCTCAAACGGTTTAGAATAGCTTGAAACATAGAGAAAACATGTAACTATAATAAGCCGTTTTTTTTTCATTTCAAACATTTCAGTTGAAAAAAGTTAAAAATTTAATAAATATAGAAAATCGTATTCTTATGCCTGAAAAAAGAATTTTAATTTGTACGCAATCTTTAATATATAAATTGTACAAATTAGTTAATAAATTATTTTTCTCAAATTTGATGTTATTTATATGTCTTCTGTTAATTATATAACAATAGTACAGAAAGTTATAAAAAATCATATTTCAAGTATAATTTCATAAAATCTCTTCAAGTATAAGTAAAATTACATATCACTACTGCACGATGTAAACTTGTCCAGATTGCAGAGCCGAACCAAGTACTTGGAGGTCACTAAAAAGCTTTTATGCTCAATAGATAACCTACTAGTTTATATAATTAATAAAAAAATTATTTCGAAGTTATACGTTGGTGCTTCTAATTAGCACTAACTTTTTCTCATAATTTATTCAATTCGAAATATATCGTCAAAATCTCATGTTTGAATTAATCTGTAACAAATCAAATTATTTTTATTAAAAACCAATATATTTAATATATTTGTATATACTAATTTAGTTTTTTATTTGCAGGTTTATTAACGCTAGACGCAGGATCGTTCAGCCCATGATCGACCAATCAAATCGAGCAGGTAATTTTTAGAATTCTAAAATTCAAAGCATGCTTTAAAATTTAAGAACTATTAGAAAATTACATATTTGTATTTAAATTAAGAGGATTCTTAATTTATGGTTTGAAAATTTTTCAATTTTACTCACAGAGTGCATGTGCTTGGTTTAAAGAAAACATTAACATTATTAGAAGGAAAATTTGATTGGGAGTACAGGACGGAAAAATCATATAGTTTCGAGGATTTTAACCGAATATTTTACTATGTTGCATAACAAACTAATGTTATGGCAAGGCTATGTTATGAAGAACTGTCCATACTAATTTGTTTAAAACATTGTCAAAAACCATGTGGTTGCTGTACAGTCAGGCGCTTTTCTCAGGTTGTCACTTAATCTAGAAACCGCACAAATGTCAAAAAACGATCTTAGATAACAGGATCTTTTTGACCCAGCTTCATAACGCACGAGTGACGTTGCAGTTAATGTGTAAACCGTATGAATGCACAGCAAATAAATGACATTTTGACAATATTCAGTATAAATTAGTAGCATAATGTATCGAAGTTGGAGCGTAACATGGCCTTGCCATAACATTGGTCTGTTGTGCGGCAGAATCGTCTGCTATATAAATAAGTGTGTGATCAGGATGTGTATCATTTTTCACTAAGGTCAAATTTGTCTTGTGTTTATTGTTTGCTACATTATCCATCTGCAATTCCTCAAAAGGTACAAACATTTGAGAGACCAGTAATGTAGCTTTTTACAGTGACGATAGTACAAATAAAAAAGGAAAAGATAAAGTGGATTTTTACTTATTGAAATGGTTAGGTTCAGTCAGATTGTTTACACTTCTCACTATGCCAAAGCACCTCATTTCTGATAGATTTGCAACCTCAATGGCGAAGCTTTGTTGAAGATAAATAGTTGAAAACTAATCGTTTCATTTTACCAGTACAATATCCGTCCAGGGCCCACCATCCGGGAGCTATTAAAACAATTGGCGAAAACGAGTGTCGAAATTATAATCATTTCCACGCTCTCTATTTGCATATCATAAAATTCGCGTATGCTCCGGCCCCACTTTGGGGGACACGAATAAATATCAATAAAAACAAACACTGATATATCAGCCGTCAATACCGGCACCGCGGAAATGGAACAAATTATATATGGAAAGACAGACAGGCATGATACAGAACGCAAATAATGCATAAATATTGGATACGCGCATTTACCCATCTGGGCATATTTTGCAAATGAAAAGTCCCGTAATGGCTTTTGAATATATTCATACTGGCGTATAATTGGCAATGCGAATTACTGATGTATTGCGATTTCCTGAAAAAATGGCTATCAGAATTTTCACCTCGAGGAAAATTATTTTTTTCGCGAATTTTTAGGTTACAATGTGCCAAAGCCCCAATTCTGTAGCCAATAAATAATTACATAATATATTACACAATCTTACACAATATTTGATTGTTCTAGAAATCCATATCGTTTTTAGTCATTTTTGGACGTATTTATCAATGTAGACACAATTAGGCATATCTAGTCGTATCGTCACTTGTAAGGATTTTTAGATACGTTTTTGCATTTTTAGATGTTTTTACGTTACTCTGGTCGTTTTAGACATTTTTACTGATCTTACAATTCGATCATTTTAGTATTTCTTATTTTATTTTGGACGTTTTTAGACTCTTTTGGACGTATTTATACTAATGCAGACACTATTATGCTTATCTAGACATTCTAAAATATTTTTAAATTTTTAAACGGTTTTAAATATTCTTACACTTTTAGACTTTTTAGACCTTTTTCGACTTTTAGACTTATTTACAGGTTTTCAGACTTCTACAACTGATTAGAGTTTTACTGCTTTCCTGACTTCTTGAATTTTTAGACGTTTTTAGATTTAATAATTTTACAAATTTTGTGTTAGAATGTAAGAAAGTTTCAGTTACCCTCTAAAATGAAGTATTATATTTTATATCCGATGTTTTTTTAATGTAAAACAGTTCCAATATAAGATTCATTTCACAAATACTTACTAATGAAATTATTTTCTTTTATCTTTTTACTACTGATATTATAAAAGCGGTGAAGCGCATTATGAAAATTTACTTCCTACCCAAAAACATTGCAACTATGTTTCATTTTAATGAAAAAAATTAAAATAGTGATTTACAAATGTCAAATATTTGCACACGGTAGTTTATATCCATCAACTAACAGTACATATTCGAGTAAGCAAATATTGAATTATTTTTATTCATGAGTCGCGCTGATGCAGCAAATCATAATTCAAATTTTGTAATTATTTGATTTATTTTAATGGATTTTATCATGGCAGCGTGTGTATAAGCCCTTGCTGCAATTATCCCTTATTTACATTTATTTACGAATAGAAATATTTATAACTGTTCATCGAAATTCACAAAACGCCGATCGGGATTTATAACGCGCGAATTAAAATATTTTAAAAACTAAGGACTCGCATAATTGCAGATGAATTATGGGTATAATTTTATATAAAAATATTCTGATAGCAGTCTGGTGAAATACATTGTGCACAATATGAAAAATTGCAAAATGCAATAAAATAATAAAATTGCAATTTAATATTATACCATAATAAATTATGTTTAAAAGGCAAAGTTGGTTTCCTTTGTTTAGTGGTTAGAGCAATTATATTTTAATAGAAAGTCCCAGACTCGATACAGGGATCTGTTGGGCAGCCTGATGGCCGCACAGTAAGATAGCAGTTAAATGCATCATATTTCAAAATTGTAATAATATAATTCGTCACAAAGAGATAAGAAAA